GACGGTAGGACTTCCTTCATTTCTTGAAAATGCATTTTGGAGTTTTGAGGTTTTTTCATTGCACAGCAGCATCAATGTTTTTCAGTCACTTCTGAAGGAGGTAAAATGAACGGTCCACCTGGTCTGTTCAGGATCAGACTGAATCCATCAGGGTCAGGATGCTGAGATTGAAATTCTTTCTGAAATCAGCTGAAATGAACCTGAAACTGAAAACCACTCTGTCCTGCTTTGATCTGAGGGACCTTCACACACATTATGAGCATGTCAGTATCACATCACCTGCTCCACAGCAGCTGCACTGTTGCCAGGCTGCAGGATTCATTTGCAATTTGTCGAGGTTCACACAGGTTCTCCTACTGCCAGACTTTAAATTAACTTTTTTTCATGCAACATTACAAGGTTTCAGTGTTTCAAAAAACAGTGTTTACAAAACTGCCTCCAAAAAAGGGGTGAAAAATATTCAAAATTTTTAACAGATTGTTTTTGTGCAGATGTGATCAGCAGGGGCCCTCGATCTTAAAGGTGGAAAACATCAATGATACTAATGATGATGAAACACCGACCTGTTCTCATTAACTGATGTGTGAAACAGGTCCCTCAGACAGAGCAGCCAGTGGATCAGTCAAACTGAAAAAGTTTTCGATTGAGCACATCTGGACCGATCCAAGTGTCCCACAGACAACACCGAAAACCAGGCGGACTCAACAAAACCATTGGCAGTATCTGAGAGCACAGTGAGGATCAAACAGGAGGAGAGAAAGACGGGACGTTGGTGTCGTTTAAGTCTCATGTTGGGGTTTAGGAAGGCGGTCGCTCCACACTCACAGCAAACAAAACTCCTGAATATGACCCCGAAGTAAAATTTGGAAGAAAAATTTGGAAGTAATTGATTGTACCTCAGAGGGTCTCACCAGATTTAATGAGATTTGTATGAATTAGACATTTTCGTCTTTTTCAAATCTTCTTAACTTTTAGGTAAAAAATAAACTAAATTTATTGTTAAATGTGACTCGACTCAAAAGAGCATTGAATAAAGGTCATACTCCAACAAAATGTGTTTGGACTTTCTGTGGGACATTTCACCCCCCCCCCCCCTCCTGTTTCTCTTCTAGTTGGGTCATTCTTTTTTCTTTTTTTTTTTGCATATTTCTGTTGTTTGTGTAAGTGATCAGAACACTTTGAACAGAGCTTCCCGTTTTGAGACAAAAAAAAAGAGAAGAAAAAAAAAAAACTTTTACAATTCTACATCTACATCTGTCATGTTCCATAAATTAAATAACTCACATTTTCCACATTTCAAACTAATCTGAACTTGACGTGGTGGTTCTGACATTGCACACAGATGTAAATCAGTCAAAGTCTGAATGGAGGTTTTGTGTTCACGGATACAGGTGTGAGCTGCTTTGACACCTCCTGAATAAATGGCTTTCACATGTCCCCACAGCGCTCGTCACCCAGTGTGTATGATACAGATTTCACCATCACTGTGAGCAGCCTGTCGCCAACACAAACCATCTAAAGACCAGTGAATGCTATGATTATCAGCTGCATTGCAAAAAAAAAACAACCCCACCACACCTCCTCCTTTGCTCTCAGCAGTGCAAGTTGGGGGGCAGGTGAGGGGGTCCCTCCTGGGAAACATGCATACACGCACAGAGAGCCTCCCCCTTTAAATCACAGATGACTGTTGCTCTGCTCAGTGTGCAAATAGGGAGCAAATTACAGTGACACGACAGAGCGGAGCCTTAGGAGGAAATAAGCCACGTTCATCTCCTGTACGACAGCTGCTGAGCGGGAAGGAGCTGCTGGACGCATCACATGGTTCAAAACACCCTCGGATAGAAAAGTCAACAAACTAATACCACCAATTTATAATTCCAACCAGAAGATTTGCCTTATTTTAGCAACTGTCCCAAGAGACAAAGCTAAAAAGTGGCAATAACAACATCACATCTCCTTAAAGGAACAGTTCAACATTTTGGGAAATATGCTTATTTACTTTCTTATTAAGAAACTAAACGAAAAGACTGATATTTCTTCCATGACTGTAAATATGAAGCTAGAGCCAGCAGGTGATTAGCTTAGCTTAGCACAAAGAATGGAAACAGGGAGAAACAGCTAGCCTCTGTCTAAAGGTAACAGAAACTGCCCACCATCACCTCTAAAGCACATTTATCAACACATTATATCTTGTTTGTTAAATCCATACGACAACCAAATGATTTTTTTAGGGGCTGGGGGTGGGAGTTATGTGACGGGACTATTTCTTGTCCAGGAGCAGTTTATGGCTATATCAGTCTTCTCATCTAACTCTGAGCAAGAAAGTGAACAAACAGATTTCCCCAAATGTTGAACTCTTCCTTTAATAAAGAGGCTCTGGCTCGACTGCACAGAACGACAGGTATAGCAGAGGCCTATGGGATCCACCAGGTGTCCAGTAAATATCATTTTCAGGTTCTCACTAGTTTGGCAGGACAACAAAAACCACCTTCATATGGTATAAAAACAACATGGCTGAAAACAAAACGTGATCATTTCATAATGAAGGATTTTAGTCTCTTTTCTTTGCCTCTGGACTAAATTCACCAAAACACATCTCCTCATAAAACAGTTATTCACAGAAGTATTGGCCCCGTTGAGTGGTCTGAGTGTGTACTGAGTGTTGGCCTGATGTGGATTGCTGTGGTGAACGTGCAAGACTTGCTAACACATCCCACCCTGTGCCCTCCAGAGGATAAAAACATGGAAAAGAAAGAGGGAATTCACAGTTAGAAAGTCACAAAACACGACATTAATCAAGCCCTATGAAGCAAAAACAAAGAAACCAACCAACCGGTCAGAGAGAGCAGAGACGAGTGAGTGGACAAGGGAGAGTTTTCCCCAACAACAAACAGTGAGTCTTTGAGATGTTTTTGCTTTGTCATGGTCGAGCTGAAGTTGCAGTCGAAGTCGTAGGAGGTTGGTTGGTTGGTCGGGTTCCCATGGGGCACTGCGGCTAACGCCCGCCTTTGTTGAGGTTTCAGGTCTATGGTAGAAGGTCCGGTTTTTGTATAGCAGCAGCAACATGAAAGTTCATAATAATAATAATGATAATAATAATAGTAATAATAATAATAATCATAGCAATGGCCAGCTCAGAGTTTAACAGACAAAGACAGTAAGACAGAGCAGTCCTCCTCTTCCTCTGAAACCTGGACTGGACCAGGGAGGAGAGCATGAAGAGGAGAATGTTTAGGTCCACGAAGAAGAAGTGTAGAGTAGGTCCAATGGAGAGAAGAAGAAAAGAGGGAGTGAGGGAGGGAGTGGAGGGGTGTTAAAACAGAATCATGAGGTTTCGTTGGCATTACATCTACATTTGTAAAAAGTAGAAGCGGGAGGTAAAACTGCCACCAGCGACCAACATTTAACCCCCCGATTTCATTTAAGAAATACCCCTCCACACACACACACCCACCCCCACCCCCACCTCTCAGAGAAATACACTCCTGTCAACTTCAGCTCTGATTCTTCTCAAGTTTTCAACATGAACTGATTATATACAGCAGCACACGAACAAACCCGCACAGATGACAGAAAAGTTGAAAGATCTGAAAAGTTCACAACATCAGTTCTTGAAATGCTTCATCGTTTCCACATTACAGGTCTTTTGCGCAATAAAGTTCGATTCTCCCCCCAAAACATAGAAACCTTGAAGACATCAGGTGGTGAAGTACAAGTAAACTGGCTTCTGGTGGGAATGTTACCATTCACTTGCAGAGTGTGTGTGTGTGTGCGTGTGTGTGTGCGCGTGTGTGTGTGTATGTGTGTGTACTTGTTTGGGGAACTGAAAATGGAATTGGCAGGTCTGATTTGAGGTATTTCCTGGTGGTCAACATGGCGTCTTGGATGCATAAGTAGCAAGTTGCTCCCTGGGTAAAACGGGTAAGGATTAGGGGGGGGGGGGTGGTTCAGGGTGAGGTTTTAGGTGAGGGAAAAGTGCTATAGGACATAGAGAGCTTATATACAAGCGAGCACAGAAAAAGTTTCTCTCCTCCTTTCTTCTTTTTTTTTTTTTTTCTTCCTTTTTAAAACCAAAAAAAAACATTTTTTTGTCATTTCTTTTCCAGTTCCCGTCCTCAGGCTCCTCCGGACTCAAAGTCTTCTCCATATTTAGTGCTATCTTTTAAGATAAGTCAAACTGCTTTTCTTTCCTTCAGTCACTTGGGAAGAGTTGCAAAAAAAAAAAAAGAAACTCCCACAGGACTCCCATAAAAAAAAAAAAAGAACAATTAAATCTTCAATCGAATCAAAAGCAGTCATCATTTAAACAAACAGCTTCAGTAGTACTAATTCAGGGAGTCATTATTTATTCTGTTTTAAACTGTTACGATCATAAGACAGTATTGGCCAGAGCCCCCTTCAATCAAAACTCCCTGGGTTAGAGCTCCACAGGGGAAACTCAAAAACTTCACTTCTCCACCCACATGGGTACAAAGTCTTTTATTTTTCTTCTTCACGCCTCTTCCAGGCTACTCGTCTCCTCTTTTCTCCCCCTCCTCCTCTCTTCCCCTCCTCCACACTCCTTCTCTCAGAGTGTAGTGCTGATTGTGAGGTGCTTCCAGAGAGGACAGGAAGAGATTCCTCCAGGGTCCAAGTGCTCTGCTTCTTTTTAAAAATTTTTTCCTCTCCTCAGGTAGAATTGATGAGTTGAGATTGTGGCGGATTGTTTTGGGAATGGCTGGGCATGGGATTGGTTGCCCCCCCCCCATCCCAATTTCCCACTTTTTTTGTCCCAAAAAAAAAGTGCAGAGTCAGTTTGCAAAGAGAAGGCAGATGAGGAGAAAACAACAAACCCAGGTTTAAGGAAGTCAGAGCAAAAACAAGACAGGGGGAGTCAGACAGACACAAAACAAACATAATGGAAAGTGTGTGTGTGTGTGTGTGTGTGTGTGTGTGTGTGTGTGTGTGTGTGGTGTGGTTGTGTGTGTGTGTGTGTGTGTGTGCGTGTGTTCTCCCACAAATCAGTTCTGCTGCAGGATGAGGTTCTCCAGCTCATCGGCTGAGCGCAGCAAGAAGGCGGCTGACTCCCGGTAGCCGGCAATCAGCTGACGCACGGCCGTGATCTCTGGTTGGCTGAGCTGGGTTGATGCCCCGCCTCCGCCGCCGCCCCCGCTGCCCCGCCCACCCAAGCTGTTGGTGGTGGCGGAGGAGGAGGAGTTACTGATGTTGGCAGAGGAGAGGGACTTCATGCTGAGGTCTGTGGGACCTGAAGAGAGAGGGAGCAATGGATGGAGAGAAATGTTGATAAAGGACGGAGACAGAGGGAAGGATGGATAAGATGGAGATGATGAAGAGGAGAGGAAATGTGTAGGAGGAGGAAGGATACAGAGGTAAACAAAGGAAAAGAATAGGAGGAGTTATGAGAAGAATGGAAGAGGTCAGTCGATATCAGAATATTATAATGTTTTTTCAATTCTGTATATATGTACAATAAACTATGGCTTACATCACACCTCCAGTTTCCAGGTAACAAGAACAAAGCTTCATCTAGCAGCTTAACAGTTTTGCAAACAGCGGCAACAGTTTATTAAGAGGTTATGCTGCAGCTTCAGAGCCTACGAATGTAGCTACACTGTAGCTTTTATCCTCAAGTTTTTTTGGGGAGTTTGTCGTATGCAATCTGAGGACAGAGCATCTTGTGTTGTTTGCTGTGCAAATATTTCAGGCCCTTCAGGCAAATTTGTGATCTGTGATATAAATAAAATTTAACTTGACTATATTACAAATTGAATTAAAGAAATTGAACACAGTTACTGTGGGGTATACGGACAGATCAATGGTCATATCAACAGATGAAATATGAAGCTCCGCTGTAAATTTAAAACTATAGTCAGTATCTGTGGTGAGAAAACTGATAATCTGCTGCGTCATGTAGAAATCCAGACACTTAACATCTACTGGCTGGATTCTGCTGAGCTGTTTGATAACTGTCACCTTAAAGTAGTAAACTTGTTTTTAGGAGTTACTTATCACCTCATGAAAATGTTAATCTTTGCTGACTTACATAATCGCACAATTCTCTTTTTTTCTGAACTATATCTTTGTGTTGAAACTGAGGGGCACAGAGTCACTAAAGAGAGAACTGTACATCAGTACAAAAATTTGTCTGAGAGCTTGCGTTCAGTACGTTTACGTCTCCATATTTAAACAAGGCTGACATCACTGTCATGAGTGTGTTGCTGCTTCACACTGCCATCTGCTGTCTCCTTTCACTGCTCTCTTTTCTTCTGCTGCTCCTTCTCATTCATTCCCAAATTACATATTCATTCTGTTTCCCTCTTATCACTTCCTCTTCTTTTCCCTCCATCATCACTTTCTTTTCTCTCTCCCTCTCCAAACTCCCAGCTGATCCTTTTATTCATTCCTCCTTTTCACGATTACCCTCGTCCATCTCATCTCTCTCTCTCTCTCCATAAAGACCCACTCCCTCTGTCCTCGACCGCCCTCCCATCCTCACCGTTGCTCTGAGCAGCAGCGCCAGTCGTCAGGGAAACGGGGTGTTGCATGGCAGCGCCCAGGCCCGGGTATCCACGGTAACCGTAGCTGAGGCCGGCTCCGTTGATGTAGAGCTGGGTGTCCTGGGAGGAGAAGGCTGATGCGGCCAGGGAGTAGGCAGAGTGAGCGAGGGACGCCGGCTCCCTCAGACCTCCTCCACCGCTGGACGTCTTGTCCAGAGAGATCTGCTCATCCTGGCAGAGGGAAACAGGAAATGAGGGGTATTCTTTTCAAAATACAATACAGGAAGCTGGGTGGCCTATTGGTATTAATTAACCAGGCTCATTGAAATCATAATGAAAACATTTTAGAAGAGCAGTATTACTGATATCAAAAATCAAAAATCATTTTCTTCAGAGAGTCTGACTGAGATTGAAATTTTAAGTTTTGAGTTTTCAAGAAGGCAGCACGACATTAATGTTAATAGCAAAACAGTCACAGTCAAACACACACAGAAACACAGACTTACGTGATAGGCTTCGAGGCGCATCCTTTTTGCGGCGTTGCGTGATTCACTCTCGCAGGCGGCAGCCAGGATGTTCTCAGCCATGGCTGAGGTGAGGTGAGGTGGAGTAGGACGGGTCTGGAGAAAACAGAATATTATAAGAATAAATTATTTGTTCTGTTTACCTACATGTGGCGATGAGACTCTGGATTTACAATGTCAGATAGAGTGAAAAAACATTAGCTTACACAAACATCCTCAGGCAGAAGAGTGAGTTTCTAATTTAAACTCTTCATAATAAAAGCTTGACTTTCAGCCAAGCTGAGTGCTTCACTGATTCTGCGCCAAGTCTGGAGGTAATAAGAGAGCTAATGAGCTTCATGGTTTATTCTATTTTTAATTCTTATGTGCACGCTACATTGACAAATGCTTTCCAGTTAGTACCAGTACATATGCTTTGGTATCCCCTGTATGAAAGCTGTAAATCCCTGAGGGCAGCTTTTACAGTGATTATGGAGAGTGATGCTAATTGTATTTGAAGGCAAACTGAGCCTTTTGTGTCACAACCAAGAAAACCTTCTTGAACACCTCAGCTATGTGTATTCACACACACTCTAACACCTGGCTTCACCACTGGGGGGCAGCAGAGACATTCCCATGACTGCTTCACCTTCACATTGTGAAGCCTGTCAGATTCCACACAATATGACTGCGTGTAAGACCTCACCAGATGTGACTGGTCAACATCTGCACCTTTCCTGATTTGATACAGTAACAGTCAGTTGTCTCTGCTCTGTGTTAGTACAACAGCTGAAACTGCTACAGTAATACAGACGATTTACAGCATTAATACACATGATGAGACCTGGTTCAGACTAATCAGATGAGCTGAGGCTTGACTTTACTCGTGGAAACAGGTATAAACTTGGTCTCTCTGGAACTTAAAGAGGACGAGGACGCAAACTCTCACCTGCGTGAGGTATACTGGATTATTTAGTTACTCAGCATCAGTGAGGACCAGTCATTATCCATCTGAGCAGATTGCAACTGTGCTGCTGACAGCATGAGGGTCTTTGTTATATTCTTTCATAATTTTTTTTTTATTTCAGTGGATTAATTATCTGTGCCACTGCACACACCCTGCTGGTTCCTGTTGATGTTGTATAACAGCACACACCTGTCAGTTCAAGCCAGTTTGTCACTTAATATCCATCTGACCTGAAACGGCCGTGAAACAAATAGATGCACATAATGAAATCTTTACTAGCTCTTAAATGAAGATATTCTGCACCATGTCACATGTGTAAACTGATGTAAATTGACTGGAGCGTGTTGTTTCTACAGTTACAACCAATTTACCGGCACGTTTTATCATCCTCTCACTAAAGATGACAGTTGTTGGGTGTCCATGCGGCTTTCTCTGCAGCATGGACACAGAAGAAGTGTTTTACTTAAATTAAAGTTATTTTTATAAAATAAATATTTAAAACATTTTAATCTGAATCTGGATGTAAATAAAATGCAGGTAGTAACAGTCACAATCAGGATTTTTGGAGAAAAACTAAACTCTCTGAATATTAAACTTGATAAAAGGATGAATTGTGTAAAATATTAAGTGAGTCAGAATCTGACTTCTGAGCTGTGGCTGATACTGACAGGAATCACCAATCATGTATTGTAAGATACATTAAATATAAATATTGGCTACTACATTGGGATGCCAGAAATCTTTTATAATATAACTGTATTATTACTGTCATTGTGTTTTTATTCATATTTCTAAACAATCTGGAGTTAGTATGCTTGTGTTTCCAGACTAAACTCAAACATTTTTCAGTCTTTTAAAACCATCTGAATCCCTGTGATGTGCTAATTCCCTCTAGTTCTGTACCTGCATTAGTTTCTGTGTGTTTTACCAGGAACATGCTAAAAGTTCTCAAGTCTGTTTTTTCCGTTGAATTTTCTTTTTTCGCAGTGAGGCACTTGGGCGTGTATAAACAGCCAAAAAGACCATTTCCCTGACTGAAGCCCGAGTAGTGACTGAAAGGTTTTGCGTGTACGAACACAGATACTGAAGAAACCGTGAGAATAAAATCCACCAGGACACAAGAGACGACGGTCTCTCACTCTGTGATTCCCACAAGAGTTGGACTGAATGACAAAAGAAGCAAGGCCAGCAGTGCATTATGGGAATTATTGGCTCTAAACATACTGCAGATCAATTAGACTGCCTCAGTCAAACCACCCATTATATATAGACTGAGAGCAGTATAGAGACCCACACTGCCTCAGCACCTATATACAGTTTATTCATATGATCTGGTCACATAATTTGTTCCAACCATATAAATAATAACTGACACTAAAATCTCATTCTCAGTATTTGCTCCTCTGCAGAGTTTTGGTTTCATTTAGATTTAGTGATGTTAATCTGAAGAAGGTTTCTACATTTAAGATACAGATGTGACTGAAACTGGTGACTAAAATATCACAGTGAAAGGAGAATTGCATGGCCGTCAGACTGAGAGCCTGCAGAGAGCAGGTCTGAGGTCTGAGTCACAGTAACTCGTCTGCACACACTCGCACTGAACTGAACCTGTTTCTATACAACGCTGCTTTCAGGTAATGTTGGAAAACGCATAAATGCATGTCACTGCTGCAACATATACAGTAAATGCTCATATATAACAGATACAAATACTGACACATTTTTGCTGTTTCTATTATTATTTGAACTATTACTACTTCAGCTAATTGACCTGAAACAATAAACTGATCAACAGAAAATTATTTGGAAACTATTTTGACAATCAATTCATGTCATTTAGGTCATTTTTTAAGGTAAATATTCTCTGATTTATTTAACTGTGAACTGAACATCTTTGGATTCTGGACAAGATGTCAAACAAAATGCAGCATTTCTCAGACATTGTAATGAAAATTATTTGAATTTTTTTTTGACATTTTCTGACATTTCATGAAATAAAAACATTAATGGAGAAAATAATCAGAAGTATAATTGATATTGTAAATATTAATGATAATGAAAATTAAAATATTGATATATTTGTTGAGATAACTAAATAAATAAATACACAGCCCCCAAAACCCACTGATATACAACAGGTATGGTACCTCCATGCCATTCTTCTTCATGCGTCGGCAGGATTTGAGGTAGGTGCGGATGCGCTTGCGAGCGCGTTCCTGGAACTCTGGGAACTGTCTGCTGCAGGACTCGATGATGGCCTGGATCTTCTCCTTGGGCTGTTTGGAGATGGGTACCATTCGATCCAAGTTCTCGTCCACAAACAGACGCACAAACATCTGCAGGAGTACAACACAGCTGTTAAAGAAAAAATTCTTTTTATGGTTAAACTTAAGAGTTTTATGATCTTGTGTGCGTAGCTGCACACACCCTGCTGCTCTAGGCTGTCGTCTTGTGTATATGAATATGTCTATGGATATGTTAAAGCTGCGTTAACTTTTGTCCACTTAAGGAAGAAGCTGACAAAAACACACGTCTGACATATTAAAGCCTCATGAGGTTGCTAAGATGGACGTGTTAGCAAACAGCTGCTTATTCACTCAACCACAGAAACAGTTTCTGTTCACCTGATGAATGATGATGAAAATACCAGGATCTTTAGCTGCTAGATATTCCACTTGTTTCACCAGATAGTTGCTAAATTTGTCTGTCTGCCATTTTTCATGTTGTTTTATGTGTATAGCACTTTTCCTACAGAGGTTGTAGCTCAAGCTGCTGCACAGAATCAAGACAATAAAACAACAAGCAATTATAAAAAAGTAATAAATATATTTGGAAAAAAAACAAATAAAAAACAGGAGTTTAAGTCAGGTAAAAATGAGAAATAATGACACCTCCTGACTCAGAGACAGTTTCTTCCCCAAGGCAATTATCACACTAAACATACAGTAAGCACTGAGACTGCATTACTCTTGTGCAATAGCGTCATTCTGTAATAATCACCAAATCAACTGCTATTCATCTCACACTTCTATTTTTTCAGATGCAATACCATATTTACCAATACTATTCATTATTGTGCAATATAATACAACTCGACTCGTATCTGAATGTTTTGTCTATATTTGTTTTTATATCATTTATCTTATTTTACTAGAAATGATCTGTCTTTTTTTCCTATTCACCAATTGAGAAGCAGCGCTCCTAATTTCGTTGTATGCAGAGTTTACAATGAAAAAAATAATAATAAAGGCTTTCTAATTCTCTGACGATAATATGAGAGATTGAAATTCAACTTCAACACACAACAAACAAACACATAAATAAATATTGGGGAAGAGGTTACTTTGTATAAGTAAGTAGCTTCTGAAAGTGCTAACTGATGTGGCCTATTTAATCTCTGCTGGTAAATTTGCAGATTTTGAGCAGAGAAGGCTGCGTCCCCCATGTTGTTATGGGCGTGAGAGCAGCAGTGGGGAACTGCAGGACCTACAGGCACAGGCTGGGACGCCTGATGTTAGTAGCTCTGCAATATCAGGTATAGCTATTAAAAGCCAGTGTGAATAGCTGAAATCAGTGTAATGTGCTCATTCTTCCTGGTTCTGGCAGCAGAAGTGTTGTGTGCTGAGCAGGTAGTGTGTAGTGTGCAGACGGTTTAGCTCCTTGTTTCCAGTCTATCCCATTCACATTACATGCAGTCATTTGATCCATCATTAATACAAGTTTTAAGTTGTGTCCTGTGTGTGTTCCTCCATGTGTAATTAGAGGGAGATTCTGCTCATCACTGAGTTCAATGACAGAGAATCCACTGCTGTGATCAATGACAATAAAGCTTTTAGAAGAGGAACAGAGAGTTGGCTCTTCAATATTTTCTCTTTATGAATATAAGAGGACGTGTTATTGATCCCTGTGGGGGCGTCATGTGACACAGAGATGAAGGTCTGACCCAACACACTGTCTCTGACTCACATTGAAGGCCTTTAGTCTCTCGGGATCGACTCCCTCTGTGTCGTTGATCTTATCATTGTCATCATGGTCGTCGTGGTCGTCGTCATCATCGTCGGGGGCGACCTGGGTGCCGTGACGCACCATGGTCAGGTCTTCGGCACTCAAGTCCATCTTCACGCTGTCGTAGCTGCCGCCTGAACTGTACTGCGGGGACTAAACACACACACACACATTTTGAGAATTAAACAGGAATAGAAGTAAGGAAATACAAAGAAAGGACAGTTTGATGGACTTTATTATACAGGTGCGCGTGTGTTGTATAATAAACACACACACACACAAACACACACACACACACACACACACACACACACACACACACACACACACAAACAGATTCTGCCAATAAAGAGTCATTATCAGCTGGAGAACATCCTTCATCATGTGTCCTTCATCCAACACAATGAACTCAAAGCACTTGTAATTCAGCCCAACTTTAGCTCTGCAGGAGCAACTAAACACCAATGGTGAAGAACTGCTGTGATGGTTAACATTGATGCATCAGTTGTTATTTTAGGAGCTGGTTTTAACTACTTTATCTACACTTAGCTACTTTAGTCCAGTGGTTCCCAAGGGCCACGACAGAAATCTGAATGATAATGAGATGGTGAAGTTCTGCTTCACAAGTTTGTTTATTCAGTTTTGGGAATTTTTCTCTATTTTTATTTTGTTGTGAAATATTGAAGAATTTTACCTCTTTTAAATGAAACCATCTGAGAGATTTAGAGGGGAAATCCATCTTTGGTGGAACTACTAACAAATCATAGACGTCTGAAACCTGTAACAAAAGGCCCCAAGTAAGTTGTGAGGGGTTTTGTATCTGCATTTTATAATATTGATATTGATACTTTTAATGTAAAATCTTAAATTGCTACACTGTCAGATAAACGTACTGGAGGAAAAAATCAAATATTTTCCTCTGAGTTATGGAGGAGAAGAAATATAAAGTAGAATAAAGTGTAAATACTTGAGTAAACGAACGTAATTACTTTCCACCACTGCCAAACATTAAGATGATTAAAAGACTCTATGAGTATGTAGAGGCCAGTGCAACACTAAATAAACACTAAACACTAAAAATCTGATAGCATTAACATTTCTTTTTAGTTTTAACTAGAGACGTAAATAAAGGCTTGGAGGAAACAGAAAATAAAACTTGATTTGTGACCAGTGCACTTCAAACACACTTGTCCATGACACATAACACAAACACACAGTACACAATGTATGGAGATGGACCTGATGCACAGCGACACACACAATCACACGCACATGTATAAAAGGAGAAAAGAAAACACAAACGTAGCAAATGAAAGAAGAAACACAGACAAACACACACACAGGCGAACTTTTGTGTGTGAGAGAGAAAGAGTGAAAGGAGGATATTCTGACTTTATGAGTGGAAAGGAGTCTGATTGTGAGACTGAATGACTGAGTGTGTGTGTGCATATTGTATGTAGCTGTGTGTGTGTCTAGCAGGTAGACTGTCTGGTAGTAACATGTTTCCTTCAAGGCCAGTGTGTATTGTGTCAGGCTGTGCTATTCAGCTCCAAACAAAGACAGTGGGAGGAGGAAGGAAGGAGAGAGATCCTCTTCCTCCTCCTCCTCTCTCCATCTCTCCTCACTTTTGCCTCCATCTTTTGCCTTTATCTTCCAGCTCCATTTAGTGGCCTCTCAAACCTTACAAACAACTGTGTGCGCCTTTCATGTTTTAACAAATATGCCCTAAAGAAGACAACACAGATGTGGCAATTACAGAAATCAAATGAAGATTTCGTGTTTTCTAATAGATGATTTGAGTTTTTCCCACTGAGCATGAATAAATGAAACAAAAGGCTTCTTCTGTTAACTAAGCTGAGAGTGTGCAGACAACAGCAGGGAGGACAGAAAGCTGAGGACAAGCTGTACTAATGGAAATCATGCTAAAACACAAAATTACTTCCTTATTTTGTTAGTTTCTTTATATAGTAACCTTGACAACAAATGGTTCAGCCTCATTTGGTGACATGACTCATTATACTTTTATTTTGACATTCAACTGAGCTCTCTTCACAAAAACATTTCAAAACTTACTTAACAGTTTACCAGTGGGTGTAAATCAAAATTTCTGACAGTACAACGTTGTTAAATCCTCACCATTAAATCTCTCTAACCTGCTAAAATTACATTGAACGTGACCTTGCTTTACTTTACTGAATGGGATACTTTAGTATTTTGGGAAATATGCTTATTTGCTGAGATTTAGATCAGAGGATGGACTGCATTGTCATATCTGTACGGTAAATATGAAGCTACAGCCTGCACATGGTTAGCTTAGCTTAGCAAAAAAAACCAACCAGGAGGAAACGGCTAGCCTGAAGGTAACAAACTCCTCCTCCCTGCACCTCTCAAGCTCTTTAGCACGTTACATTTTGTTTCTGTTACATTAATGAGCTTTAGATGTGCAGGCTGGTGGATTTTGTTACCTGTGGACATCACAGGGTTAGCTGGTTCCCCCTGTTTCCAGTCTTTATGTTAAGGGAAGGGCTGCCTGCTGCTGGTGGCTTCATACTTAGTGTACAGACATGTGAGTGATCTTTTCCCAAAATGTCAACCTTTGGCTTTAATTTTACTTAAAGACTTTTGATGGTTTCTAAGGCCCAATATAACTTTACAAACTCACATTAAACTGATTTGTTTTGTTCTGCATTTCATTTATTTGCAGGTTTCCTCCCACAGTAATTAGACCTGTAGGTGAAACAGACTCTAAATTGTCCGTTGGAGTAAATATTAGTGTTGAATGTTTCCGTCTGTCGCTATGTGATAGGCTCTAGTCATCATATCCAAGTCCAGGATCAGCAGATGAAGTTAATGGATAGATGGATGAATATTTACCAACCTGCCTAAATCAGCTGAAACTTGAATGACAGATTGGGCCTTAGTCAGTAAATGTTATCATGGACAAATCACTAATGAGTTTATGTGCGTGCAGTATCTGTATGTGTGAGTGTTTATGTCTGATGTATGGTCTCACCTTGCCCCCGTAGTCCCTGCTGTCTCGGTCCAGTCGCAGCTCGGCAGTGTGTGCATGGGACTGGGAGTGTGTGTTGGGAGTGTGTGCGTTATGTGAGTGAGGAGTGTGTGTGTGCGGCAGAGGCAGAGGCAGGGCTGGGTGTGGAGCCAGGGGAGGTTTGGCAGCCAGCGGGTACTTCCTGCGGAGCTCCTCAGGCGCACTGGGATGCAGAGCGCCGAGCAGCGCCGCAGCCGCCGCTGACACGGTGACGGGCAGGTGAGAAGTGGACAGGGGCAGGCGCTTCGGAGGCGGGTCGCTTAGGTTGATCGGCTGCTGGTCCTCGGACGACGAGGAAGAGGAGGTCGGCGTGCTGAAGTCAAGCGGGGCAGGGCCACCATTGCCATTGACGACCTCAGTTTCCCTGACGATTGTTCCGTCCATCACAGCGGAGGATGGAGGGGTCAGCGCAGGCAGGCCATTCCCACTGCCGCTCTCTGATGATGAATCATCTGTAAGAAGTGACGCACAGAGAGAGACGGAGGTGAAATTTCATGACTGAAAAACACGTTTCCAAACTGCTGCTCCTTGTTTTGAGGTTTTGTTCTGAGTCTGGCTCCAGCAGCAGATCAACACAGGGCTGAAGCAGAGTGTGTAGTGCAGTTTCCTCACATGCAGACACAACACAACAGACACAAACTACAGCTCATCACAGGTGTGGACAAACAGTGTAGAGGCCATACATAGATCTACATCAGCTGCTCTACTCTATTCTCCTTCCTGAAAAGCACTTTGTAACTTCTGCATTTAAATATAGTTTAAAGAAGCATTCCCTCTGTTTTTCTTCAGGCTTATCCAAAGCAAAGGCACATAGGAAAGCCTGTGAAACTGTGACACTGTACTCCTCAGGTCCAGGTCAAAAGAAATTGTTCTCAGTTAATCACCAAAATGACCTTAGGCAAAACGTAGCTGCTGAAAGTACATGTGACACAATCTCAGTGTGTCAACAACATAACAACAGCAAACACTCCCGTCTGTAATTGAAGCTGCTGATTACAGAGAGAGCTCTTCTTCTGTATGAACTGGTCATTAAGATTACAGATGTCATATGACAGCTGTTACGGAAACTGTCCTCAATAGAGGGAGAGAGAGAGAGAGAGAGACACACCCACACACACACACACACACACACACACAGTTTATTTATGCTATAATTTCATGGCTGTTTTTAAAGTCCAGGAGATGGCAGGCTTCCCTCATGAAGCAGACACATCTGGGTGAGAAATTTTTATAAATCCTAAACCACCTGAACTCTCTGCCTCTGTTCTGCTTTAATGATGGATTGAATGTATTTGTCTGTGTTTGTATAAAGGAGAGACAACACCATTAACCACAGTCTCAAAAATCATTCATCATTACCACGGTTACAGTGATATTATTAGCTGCAGAACAATATCACTGTGTGTTATATTGTGTAAGTGGTTATGATTATTGTGTACACCCCTGTATCTTGCAATGGCAGGAAATAATGAAATGGATAATTTCACCTAAATGTAGGAAATCACAAACCGCAGCTGGAGTGACACTGAGAAACAGTTGCTGTCTTCCTGCAGACATTGATGACTCTCACGAGGAAACAATCTTCAAACTGTCTGTTGGTGGCAAATTATTCTGAAATAAAACAAGCTATGTGCAGCAGGACTGTGGTTGTGTGTTATGAGAGAAGTGCAGTGTGATGTGGAGGGGTACTGTTACGGGATGAGTGGAGCGTGGCAGAGAGAGCCGTGTCTGTTTATTTGATTAAACCCATCCAGTCTGCAGCCCGACCAGACAATAACACAGTCAAAACCCCCTCCCCCCGCCTCAACACGCCACCCTCCTCATCTTCAACTCATCATCATCGTCAAACTCAAACTCCTCCTCCTCCCACTTTCTCTGAATCACTTAAGCAACCAGCTGCCATCATCATTATTACACAGATTGAGAGAGTAAATTACACTTTGAAGCTACAACCAGAAACTTTTCACCTTCTCCTCACCAAGTTTGAGGTCAGCTGCACCTTTATTGCACGTTACTGGTCAAGCTCCTGTAAGGGTGTCATCTCAACCAGTGGACACACCTCTGACAACATGTATGCACATCTATCTATCTATCTATAGGAGGAAGAATACTAAGAGTGTTCACTGTAAACAACAGCAAAATTCACCGTAAAAAAAAGACTCAGTTGAGTGTATCTACATTTCTCTCGAGTCAGAGCTTCTCTTATCTTGATTTTTGTGGCCGGACAATCAGATATGTGTTCACTGAGTTTTCAGTAGGAAAATCTAACTGAAACTATAAAAGTCAACGAGAAAGAAACAGGAATTTAATTTGAGGGTTTTCGTTTCTCATGAAACACAAAATAAAAGGACTTTTACTGGTGTTAAATGCCTCAGTATTTATTCTCAAAGCAGGTTCACTATCCATTTTTTCCCTCTCCATCTCTGTCTGTGTCTCTTTTCAGGCAGACAGGCTGCTAAATAAGTGATCATGGAATAAATGGTGTGTGCCAAGCAGGCTAGCAGGCAGGATGGATGCTTGTCTGCCTGACTGTTAGGTTTTATCGTTCTGAATAGACTCCTGGGCTATAGCCCCACACTGAGGTGGCCTACCTGCCCAGAGACAGAGAGAGGGAGGGTAGAGAGACAGCGCATCGGCCTACAACTTCCAATTTTACCACAATTCATGGATGACGGTTACATTAGAGCTGCATTTATATCCAGCATCAGTTAAAAGGTACAAATGATTTGAAGGGATAAACGAGGAGATTGTGATTAATTAACACATGGAGACACAGAATGAGAAAGAGGGATGGGATGGGATGAATGAGCTGGAGCTGCAACAGAAATCAGCTCCAATTAAGGATGATTGCAGGACAGAGGGAGGGGGAAGGTCAAAGCAAAAGAGGAAGAGGAGGCAATTTGAATGAGTCAACATTTAAAAAAAAAAAAGGGAGCAGTGGCTGGATTGGAAGGAAAAGAAAGTGATGTATAGAAAGAGGAAGAGAGAGGGGGCTGAGGATGGTATTGACTCTGTCATTCGTTTTGCGGAGGAGGGAGGGAAGGAGGGAGGGGTGGAGCCCAAACCGCTGCATGAAGAGAGGGAGAGATGGGTAGAGAGGCACTGAGGTAAAAAGAGAGAGAGAGAGAGGAGAGAGAGAGAGGAGAGAGAGAGACAGAGGGCAATACACTATACGAGGGAGGCACAGCCAGGCAGAAGGAAAGAGGTCAGGAGGGGGGTGGGAGGAGGAGGGGGGGGAGTAAGGGAGGGGAGGGATGGAGAGGGTCATGGCTCGGGGGTGGGGGCAGCAGGAGGAGAGGAGAAAGGGGAGAGAGGAGAGGATGAGTGAGGATTGAGATGGGGGATGGGAGGGGGAAGGGTGGAGAGATCGAGGCAAAGGGACGAGCACGTGGAGTGATTTTTTTTATTTTTATCTCCTTTCAGCTTCGGCTCTCGCCATCACCTTCACATTATTAAAGCAGAGCTTACCATCTTATGTTTGTTTGCAATAGGATGTAGCATAATGTGCATTAGTGTTGTAATGTATTGTGTGTATATTGTGTTGCAATGTGCAAACCATCTGTCTTACATTCTTTATTGCTACACTCACATCTGAAACATTGCAAACCCGATTTGACTATATTGTACTTAATTATTTTTGTGCTAATACACCATGAATTTGAATTTCAGAGACAGAGGGAGGAGGGCATTGGGAGGGAGGGAGAGAAAGGGAAGCCCTGGGACCTGGAGGTAAAAAAGCATGGCAGAGTGTATTTATGAGTGTGTAAGGAGTATTCATGCGTAGAGGCGAAGGCCAACCTAATTCCTGCTGCCTCGACACAAATCCCCCCTCAGCAGAAAGACCACCGTCACTGCCTATGCATGCTTCCATCCCTCCATCCCTGCCCGACTACACAGTGAGACATCTCTGCCCTCCTCCTCTGCCTCCGTCACCTTCTATTCTCTGCTTTTTCTTCTTTCTCCCACCACGCCTGCTGAACAGGGAGCGGCCCTCTCCCTTTTCTTATTTTGTATTCTCATTCAAAGCTATTGTGTCTCTTCTTCTGCTCTCACCTCTTCTGCTGGAGTTAGACGACGTGATATCAGCAAGTTAAGGTCTGATTTGACACAAGTGCTTCTACATGTAGCCGACAATGTAAACGTAAACGTGGACATTTGTAAAGTAACTCTGCAGGCTCAGGATGACCGCTCGAAAAGCTGACTGTAAAACTGTTAAATCTGTTTCCCCACATGAGAGTCATGACACCAAAGTTCAAGTGTTATGACGCAAATCAAACAAGATCCATTCAGCCTCAGACGAGTGCAGCACAATGCACTCATTCATGCCTATGACTTTGTTACACATTTTGTGATGCTCAGATACAGGAGCTCCAATTAATGTGTTTACACATGCACAGCAGCAGAGCTGTGAGTGTGGGGAGTAATCAGCATAAGGAAATATTTTAGCTACAGCGTTTACATGCTTTGAAGCGATGAGAGCATTTCCATAATAAAATTTACACTGGATCATTTAACAGCTTCATCTAACAAAACTTTGTGCTTCCAAGAACAAGTGTTCAGAAAAAAACCCTCACATGTGGAATCACTGTTACATTTATAAAAGTTGAAATTTGAAATTCAGAGTTAACTTTTATTAAATTAGCTTGGAAGCAAGAACTAATGCTTGAATTCAGCAGAATTAGCGAGTTAGCTACCAGCTTGCTACCTAGGACTACATTCTGATGGGCTGTGGTTGGTAAAATTAATTTCTATGACGTGATATTTGTAGAGCTGCAATTAATGGTTTTTCTCATTATCAATTAATCTTACAAATGATTCCTCGATTTACCATTTGGTCAAAATATTGTGAAGAATGTATAAAAATTTCCATCTTCAAACACATTCTGATCACATGTGAGAGGCTGGAACCATCAAGTCTCCAAACAGATGCTAAATCATTTCCTGCAATTGACTTTTTTTGTTTCATTTCTAGATAAAATAAATTAATAATAATTGACATTCATGCATATTCACAAATGTTACCACAAGTATTGTTCCAAATAGTCATAGTAACTCCACAACATAGATTGACATAGACATCAGCTAAATATGCTGAGTGACAGAATGAGTGAAACATTCTGGAAATACCAACCAACAGCAGAGAAGTGGATTTTGGTCTAGAACAATGTTTTTAAACCATTTTTTTTGTTTTCCCTGGGTTTCCGTTACAGCTGCTGTGAGACCAAACTGAGTATTTGACAGTAAAAAACGATTTTCAGCGGGGTGTTCCTTTAAATGTGAAGCCTGCATCTTCAGCACTTGATGATGACAGACAAAGCACGGTTCATTTCTCAAGGACACACTGAAGTGAGGCTAAAGACTCTACATGACTACCTCTCCTTCTTTCCACCCTTCATCATCTCTTCCTGCTCTATTCACACGTGTTTTCTTTTTTATTATATTTCTTTCTCTC